TTTAAAATAGCCACACAAAAATCGCCTCGCCGCTACGCGGCTCGTGGGTGATGCTCTGCATCATCATTGGGTCAACCCGCCCCCTTAGCAAAAAGCTAGACCCGCCCCTGGAGTCTGAAATAAAGTTCTGAATTTAATTAATTGAATTGATGGTCCAAGCATCACAGAGTAAATAAAGTAAATATTTACATCGCAATTACTCGTATGAGAATGTTTGTACAAGATTTTATGTAAACAGCTTTACTCTACAAATGCCAAGGTTCATAGAACATTTTAAACAGTTTGAATCAGGGTTGGGCGGTAAATACCGGTGGCGGTAATTACCGGCGGTAAATACCGGTAAATACTGTCCGGTAAATAAGATGCGCGCCCGGTAAATATGTAAAAAGCGGGAAATATGATTTTAATTCTCTATTTATTAATAATTTTACTTGTTTTTAGCCTCATAACTGAAAATATTGTTCTGAAATAATTAGCAGCACAATACTCATATTAGGAACACACAAACAGATTTATAAAATCCTCACTGCATACAAAATTGTACACACCCAAACAAATGGCATTTTGTGCATATGCTAATTAATAGGTATTCATGAATATGGTAATTAGCAACTGGGAACCAAAACCTTCATACAAGTTACTTTTATTGTAAAGTTTAAGATATTTGAATAAAATCAGTGAAAATTTGAACAAAATCGGGCAAGGAATAAGGAAGTTAAAGCTTTTTGAAATGACTAGTCACTAGCGGGCGATATTCAATTTGATGACATCATTTGTGGACAACTCTCCATGCCTTTTGTACATCAAATTTTTCATGTTTTTTCTTCTTTCTTGTGATTGAGATAATAGAATGCAAAATGATATTCTACTTCACATGTTATGAAATCCGATCAAGAACACAAATAAATAGGAAAAAACAAAAGACTTGTGAAAAGGCATGGAGAGTTGTCCACAAAATAATGTCATCAAATTGAATATCGCCCTCTAGTGATTAGTCATTTTAAAAAGCTTTAACTTCCTTATTCCTTGCCCGATTTTGTTCAATTTTTCACTGATTTTATTCAAATATCTTAAACTTTACAATAAAAGTAAATTAGTATGAAGGTTTTGGTTCCCTTTAATGAAGAACATCATATCTAGATTAGGTGTATATTTGGTATCTTTTTCCTGTATTTTTTTCCAGCATTACATATTTACAGACATAGACAAACACACGAACAAACACACACACACACACACAAATACATGTAGTACACACAAGAGCAACCATACTCACCACCATTGTTATTATGTTCAAAATTGGACAATCCCTATTAACAAGTGAGTGGAAAAATATATTTCCCGGTATTTCCCAGTAAAAAGTGGTAAATACCGGTAAATACCGCTTATTTCCCGGCGTCCGGGAAATAAACCTCCGAAGCGGGAAATATGCCAACCCTGGTTTGAATGCATTTATATTTGTCACGAAAAACTCTGTGATCACAACTGAACAGAATATTTGGGTTATTATGTAAAACTTTTTTTCATAAAGGCAAAGAAGGACTGTTTTCATTGTCCAAATTCTGAAACCTGTATACATGTATTAGGATATTGGTGACAAGGGCATCAAACTTATCTTGGATAATGGATTAAGAGCTAAATGTTTGTCTATACATAATAGCTTACGCAAATTATGTGTGAGTCCGTAGCAAAATTTCGGGAAAACCTCTTTGGTCAAAGGTGGTATAACTGGACTATTCTTGCTTCTATAGTACCTTTATCCTGTATTTCTATCGCTATTAAAAAAAGAAATGACGTCGAGCACATCGGAATGGTATCGTCACTTTACCGAAACAACAAAAAACCAAGCTTATTTGAAATTCACATCAACCCCAATTTCACATACAATGAAGTCAGACCCACTATACAAAGGACTGGTGCCTGTTATAGATCATTAACCAAAGCACTGTGTTGTTCTGTTAGTGATATTTCACAAAGCATAGATTAGTATTTGGTATTCTAACAGGCTTTGACGTTATTATAAGGAACGTTTTATTAATATAAATGTTTTATTTGTTTTATAAAGCAAAAGATACAACAAAACAAATGTAACGTGTTTTATTTGTTTTATAAAGCAAAAGATATAAAAAATTTAAAAAATGTAACACCATGATAAAATATAATGACCATGAACAAGAGAATCATGAAACAAGAACAAACAAACAATAAAAACAAAGCAGAAAAAGGACCCCCCCCCCCCCCTCCTTCAAAAAATATAGATAATAACAATACTGATACTGTAGAATGGAAATCATTCAACAATATAAACACATAAATATAGTATTTTAGACAAAAAACATAAATGACAAAAACTTGTACTTTTGGACATCAAATAAGTTTTCAAATAATGAAGGATTAAAAGCTTGTATAAAGTGACAAATAAGCCAATTTCAGATTGGCCTTACTATTTTACACCCACCAAATAAAAGTAACACTGTTTATCAAAAAAGGTTCATTTTGGGAAACCCTTTCTCCTTATCTTAGGTAAAGGGTAGTTCAGTGCAATTGTATTATGACTCACTTCGAAATAAAGAGCATGAAATCGAGTGTCATTACTACACTTGAAATTACGTACCTCCTCCCAGTCTAAATCTACTGGAATAATAACCTATCCTTACAATAGTCATAACGTTTTTCTGAGACATTCCTTTCAAACATCATTGTGAATGTCTAGGAATTTTCTTCATTCTCGTATATAAGTTCTGATATTATCCTATCTAGCACGTCAATATCATCTTCATTTAGGTCATTACACCTTAACTAAGAATATTTGTCATCAGAAAAGTGTACTTCCTCTTATATCTTTTAGTGGAACAGCAAATTCAAGAATCACTTCTTCAAATAATCTGTATTCTGGATTGGGTGAGTTTAATAGATCATTAAACAGTACAATTTTTGTTATTGTGCCAATCTTCCGATACAAAACTTGTACGGATTTTGAACAATTATTTACTGGTGTTGACAAATCGTCTGTCCAGTAGGTCAAATGCAGCTTCCTCTCTGAGAATGTACCATGTTCTAATAGAATCAGCTGGTTGTACAATTTTTTTTATTTTCAGGAGTGTGTTTTCCGTAATACGTCGCACGGCTGGCAGAAGGGCGTTAGCGCGCGATCGACTCGAAAACTACTTTTCGAGTTATTCGCATTTAAAGATTTGTTTCATATTTAAACTGCTTTCCGTCCCGAAATTTGGTTTAAAACTTAAAAGACTAATAGAAATGTTAAAGCAGAACACGACAAGCCATTTTTTCCCGGAAATAAGTCAGTTTTATAAAAGTTTGAGGCGATTTAGTGCTAACGCCCTTCTGCTTAACGCATTATTGCGCATCTTCTTTCATGCTAAAGGGCGCAAGCCGCGTAACGCCCTTCTGCTTTGAGTAAAATAGATACGCTTCGGCGCGTAAAGCTTGTAAAAGGGCGTAACGCGCATGGTGTAGCCCGGATGGAGCGTGTTGTCATTCAGACTTTCTGAAATAAAAAGCAGACGCATGCAATTGTTTGTGATGATAAAATATCAAATTTGATTTTTCGTTTGCTTTTGTTTTAGCATTAATTAATAGTATTAGGTTATGCTTTACGGATTTCTCTTCCAATATTTACAAAAAACTCATTAAATTTATCAGCAATTTATTTTAAATCATAATGTATCACGACAATTTATTGATTATTATGTAAGGGTAATTCTTAATGCATTAACCAAGTACATCGCTTATAATATCCAAGGTATTTTTCATGTTTCCTTAAACCTATTTGGAATTTCAAATAGTAATAATTACTTTATGCTGATTTCCGGAATTTATTCCCATAATTTCGAACTCTATTATATTTCCTCTTATTCGTATCTCTATACAAAGAGGTCAATATATTCAAAGAGTAATAGAGTAAAAAATAAAATTACACTGATCACATCACTCTGCCCCATCCTGATATTTATCTTTAATCCTTCACAGAATGCAGGAAATGCATTAATTTGTTACAGAATGCCCTTTATGTCTACAACTGTATATGTACGTTGTGCTTCATATGTGATTTAAAGGGAAAGTCCACCCTGAAATTAAGTTAGTTTTAATAGGAGTAGAAAAATGAGAGAAACAAGTCAGTGAAAGTTTGAGCAAATTCCGATTAAAAATAAGGAAGTTAGGATTTTTTAAGTTGTGATCAATCAAACACAAATTGGCAACTCTATGACGTATCATGCGAGCTCAACTTCCATTTGCTCAGTACTAAAAAAATCTAAAATTTTCATTTTCCCTCAAGAAAAATTTCAACCATACATGCACCCTAAATATAATAATTGCAAATATGTTTCTATACTCCCCCTGCAAGGAACAAATATATATTCCGTCATCAATAACGAAGAAAACATGATTTTATGGAATATTATGCACAAAGCAAATGAAGGAGAGCTCGTATAATAAGTCACAGAGTTGCCAATTTGTATTTGATTGATCACAACTTCAATAATTCATAACTTTCTTATTTTCATTCAGAATTTGCTCAAATTTTCACTCACCTGATTTTCTCATTATTCTGCCTCTATCGAAACAAACTTATTTTGGGGGTCCGGGTGGACTTTCCCTTTAAGTTTGATTGGATATTGTTGTCAATGATCAAAAGTATATTTGTATACTTTTTTTTGGGGGGGGGGCACACCAAGCACTATGTACAATTTCTTCTCAATTCTTTCTCTTTCTGTCTCTCTCTCTCTCATGCAAACAAGAACATCCCCTCACTCTCTCTCTCTCTCTATTTCTATCGATCTCTCTGTCTATCTCTCTTTTTCTTTCTCCATTAAACACATCTCATAATCGTTTGTTAGCCCTCTTTTGCAGTTGCGTGTCTATCTTCTTGTCACATTAGTCATTTCCATTCTAGTACATTACTCTCTCGGACACATTTTTCCCATGAACAAATGTAACTATATAAGAATAAACGCTAAATAGCACAAAGCAATCAAATGTTAAGATGAACAATTCTGTCATGGTTATGACTGAATTTATTCCTTTGCAATATAACTGGAATCCTTTTTGTACAGTTCATTTTACAATTCCATGTACAATCATTCAAAATTGATCAATCATAATGAATCATGATTAAATATAAAAATTGGAACTTATCTGTAGCACATGCTCATGGCAGAAAGAACAACATGGTAGCTCTCAAAAGAAAGTTTTGTATTCTGCGTTGAATCTGTTCTAGCTCTAGTCAGCTTTTGTAGCATAGTTTTAAAAACTGTGCAGTAAGTTTACAAAAGAGAAAATACTTGAACAATATATCAGCATTATCAAAGGCAAATAAACAAAATTGTATGACAATAAGTGAAACTGTAGCACATGTTCATGGCAGAAATTACAACATGGTAGCTCTTAAAAGAACTTTGTGTATTCTGCAGTTAACGTACTGTGCAGTAAGTTAACATAAGAGAAAATACTTGAACAATATTTCAGCATTATCAAAGGCGATATAAAAAAAAAGTATGACAATAAGTGAAACTGTAGCACACGTTTATGGCAGAAAGTACAACATGGTAGCTCTTAAAAGAACTTTGTGTATTCTGCAGTTACCGTACTGTGCAGTAAGTTAACAAAAGAGAAAATACTTCAAAAATATTTCAGCATTATCAAAGGCGATACAAAAAAGTATGACAATAAGTGAAACTGTAGCAGCTGTTGGGATCTGCAATACGTTTCCTGGCTCTCTTATTCTGTATTAGAATAAACTAGATGGAATTTTGACTGCGCGCAGTCGAAAATGATGCCTCCGCCATAGAGCAATTTAAACAAGTTTGGAGTTTAAATCTCCATTGGTTCTTGAGATATCATGATAACAATCTCAATGTATGGAATTTCATAAGTTGACCTCTGTGACCCTTGACCTTTGACCTACGTGCTCCAAAATCTAATCAGATTGTCTTCCTATGGTGATACACACTATCATTAAGTTTGAAGTTTAAATCTCCAGTGGTTCTTGAGATATTATGATAACAATCTCAATGTATGGAATTTCATAAGTTGACCTCTGTGACCCTTGACCTTTGACCTACGTGCTCCAAAATCTAATCAGATCGTCTTTCTATGGTGATACATACTATCCTTAAGTTTGAAGTTTTTACATCTCCAGTGGTTCTTGAGATATCATGATAACAATCTCAATGTATGGAATTTCATAAGTTGACCTCTATGACCCTTGACCTTTGACCTACGTGCTCCAAAATGTAATCAGATTGTTTTCCTATAGTGATACACACTATCACTAAGTTTGAATTTTAAATCTCCAGTGGTTCTTGAGATATCATGATAACAATCTCAATGTATGGAATTTCATAAGTTGACCTCTGTGACCCTTAACCTTTGACATACGTGCTCCAAAATCTAATCAGATCGTCTTCCTATGGTGATACATACTATCCTTAAGTTTGAAGTTTAAATCTCAAATGGTTCTTGAGATATCGCGCTAACACACTCAATACAAGGAATTTCATAAGTTGACCTCTGTGACCTGTGACCTTTGACCTACGTACTCCAAAATCTAATCAGATCGTCTTCCTATGGTGATAAATACTATTCCCGAGTCTTAAGTTTAAATCTTAAATGGTTCTTGAGATATTGTGATAACGGTCAAACGGGACGGACGTACGGACGGACGTACGGACGGACGGACGGACGTACGGACGGACGGACGGACGGACGGACGGACGGACGGACGTACGGACGGACAACCCGAAAACATGATGCCTCCGGCACCACCTTCGGTGGCGGAGGCATAAAAATATAAAAGTGGTGGACAAAATATTAGTTTAACATATTCATGCTTTGAACTGTACAGAGTGCAAAATTCTATAAAAGTAAAAGTACTGGTGAAGGATGAAGGAGTCAACACTGCAGCAAGTCAATGTAAATGACTGTAACCTTGCAATCTGACTGGCATGCTTCTCTCCTTTTGCTTCTCCTCTCTTGCCTTGATTTAATGAACCAATACATTCACTCTCTCCCCTACCCCACCTTTAAACCCAGCCATCATCAAGAAATAAGGGAGTGAAAGAGAGAGAGAGAGAAAGAGAGATGGGAGGAGAAAGAAGAGAATTGCAGTACGTCTGCATGGTCATTTATCCCAGAACCCCTCCATCAGAGGGAAGCAGAGCAATTATTCCATTTACTCTGTCTAAAGAGATGTACACCAGCCATTTTCTGGTACAACAAAAATACATTTATCTTTTTCAAAGAAAATTCTCCACTCCCTGGGCAGAATTTGTAACAGGCAACCATTTTAAAGCTTCAGACTTTTACCTCACATTGTTCAGGACGTTCTCCAATATCTCTGTGTAGAAGCCACTCTCTGTAAAGTACACAAGAATAAACTTTCTGACATAGAAATGTAAAACCCATTTTTGAAGTAAATATTGTAGGAGAAATAAATGGTTCAAAAGTTAGCTTAAGAGGTTGTTGTTTTGATTAATGAATATTGTAGAGGTGTCTGCAACAGCATAATTCCAACAAACTGACTTATAATTCCTAAAGACAATGCCCACTGTAAACTACAAACTCAAATTGGTGACATTTGAGACATTAATATTTTTCAGTACTACCTTCACTGTCTGCTTGGATAACTTGAAACTATGTCAACTGTCTCCTGCACTTCGATTGCTAAGGGAACAACCGTCATCAATTCCAGAACTGTGTCGATCGCTGGATGATCTTCTGAAAACCTCTCCGGAATTTGAAGTAGATGCTATGGTAGTAAAAATATGTAAAGCCAGGAATAATATTATAAAGAGAGCACTGTAATATTTTGTAATATAGTTAGCATGATACCTTCATCTTTCAGCTTTGCCGCAGTCAAAACTTAAATATACCGGTACCCATAACCAGGGGAGTGCCACTTACATTCTTTTTTGAGAACTTTTTGAACATATCCTGAAATTGTCATGGCAGCAATGACTTTAAAGTTAACGGTTTTATTGTTTTTGTGATTTTAAAAAATTATCAGGGGGGGGCAGATACTTTTAACTATTGCAACATCTTCAAAAAATGCAAGCAAACTAGCAGAAACAGCTTAAGGAATAATGTAACAATTATCATGGATTTATAACTTCTTTTTGACCATATCAATACTGTATAAGGGCTTTACGATAATTTATAAGGCATTTTTAGTGAAATCAACATAACGCTAGTTTAACTTACAGCATAGTTATTGTGGTTTGCACATGGTTCGTCCTCTTTGAAGTGGTGTTCACACAGGGAAACAAGACACTGGGAGCATGTACTAAACACTTCATGTAAACATATGAAATGTTGACACATTTGAACTTCAATGAGGCATGTCTATGAATAAAAAGAGAACGTTACAAAAATATAGAAAACAAAGAAAAACTTGAATATCACTTCATCAACTATCTCAGTCTGGTTTATTAATAGGACTAAATAACTAATATCATCGGTGGGGTGACAAAACCTTGTATCTCAAAAATCATGAATTTTCAGGAGAACGAAAAAACTTTCCTGTCTCAACAAATTTATTGCTGTGACACCGTCTTTTCTTTTTAAAACTGGAATATTTATACAATTTGTAATGTCATTGTTGAAATACAGTAAAATAATAGGTTTTATATTTAAAAGTGAGTTACAAGGTTTTTGCGTTTATCTACATTGAGATACAAGTTTTTAGTTTTTATTCAAATTGAGATACGAGTTCTTACTTTCAACTCTGAATGAGTTACGAGTATTTGGTTGAATAAGTTACGAGGATTTGAATACACTAACTTGGGTACTGTTAGGCCGTGTGTGAGTTACGAGAAAAAGGGATTACGTATCTTATGTTACGAGGTTTTGTCAGTGCAGCTTCAAAGGGGGTTAAAGTTACGAGGTTTAGTTTAAGGGTGTTTGTGTGGAATTTGTAAAAAAACAGAGAAGGCGTTCCATGGATTTATCAGGTGGTGTCGTAGGCCATTAGGTACACAAATTGAGATACAAGGTTTTGTCACCCCACTGACGATATATTTAACTTTACTAAATTGAAAATTTGATGAAAACTTTTTTCAAAAATGACACTTACTGCATATGAATAAAAGCTAACAATGATCATCAAATAATTTTGGAAAGTATGTAAGCCAACAATGTTTCTTCGTGACATTACTTTTCATTGCTTTACATCTCCATCATAAAGCCTACCGACACTCGGTTGATCTCGTATAGGTCCATGATGTACAATGAAAATTGTTCAGAAATATTCATTTAGAAATCATGATACTGTATAGCATTTCAGTTCAATGATTGCTGTCATATTGTTATCAAACCAAACAGAATAGTATGTAGGCCAACAATGTTTCATCAATAGTATCATACATTACCTGTCATTGTGACCCGACATCTCCAACGTCAAGCCTTGGTTGATCTGGTAGAGGTCCATGGTCTACAATGAAAATAATTCAGAAATATTCATTTAGAAATCATGATACTGTCAGGGGCGTCGCTAAACCTTCTTCAGTGGGGGGGGGGGGGGTTGTAGAGGCCAATGATTACCGACAAAACTAGCCACCAATTACCGACAAAATTAAATGTCCCAATATCTACAAATTTAACCCTATAAACCTGGGGTCAAAATCTAAATTGTTTTTCATATGAACTATCTATAGTACTTGTGTATGCGCAAATGGTCATTTTCATCAACGACATAAATATACGAATTATTTCGTCAACTAATTCGGTTGTCACATCCCGCCGTACTTGCAAGTGCGTGCTGTCTACGTGCAAAAACGTGTGCAAAATTTGGGTATCGGTACGTGGTGAGTACCGCCTCCGTACGGATTTGGGAGCACGCAGACACACCGTAGCACCTTTTAGGGAGGGGCGGTAGTGGGCAAGCGTATCATTTTTAATTGGGGGTGGGTGATACGCCTTAGAAAGCTTAGACGTTTCCTTAAATTATTAAGAAAATATGACTATTTATTGTACCATCCTCGACTGTTAATCTGTGTCTGAATTCAGTTTCTCCACCTTCCGCGGAAGCTTTGACGTTTCATTAAATTATGAGAAAAGCAGACGATTCGGTGTACTGTTCTCGACTCTTAATCCTTATCTGAATTCAGTTCTCCCCCTCCCGCGCGAAGCGCCGAAATTTTGATGTTTCATTTAATTATTAGAGAAAGTAGACGATTCGTTGATATGCTCGACTCTTAATCCTTGTTTGAATGAAGTTTCCCCCGCTCGCGTGAAGCTTGGTAGTTTTGAAGTTTCATTAAATTATTAGAGAAAGAAGACGAATAGTTGGGCGTTTTTTACTCTTAATAAGCCCTAATTGTCTGAATTCAGTTTCCTCCTTTAACGCGAAGCGCGAAAGCTTTGACATTTCCTTAAATTAATAGAGAAAGCAGACGATTTGTTGTACCCGGCGTTTGCGACTCTTAATCTGAATTCAGTTTCATTTTTTACTCTTAATAAGCCCTAATTGTCTGAATTCAGTTTCCTCCTTTAACGCGAAGCGCGAAAGCTTAGACGTTCCCTTAAATTATTCGAGAAAACAGACGATTAGTTGTACCGTTTTCGACTCTTAATAAGCCCTATTCGTCTGAATTCAGTTTCCCCCTCACGCGCAAAGCGCGGAAGCTTTGAAGTTTCCTTTAATTTTTAGAGAAAGCAGATGATTTGTTGTACCGTTTTCTACTCTTTATAAGCCCTATTTGTCTGAATTCAGTTTCCCCCTCACGCGCAAAGCGCGGAAGCTTTGAAGTTTCCTTTAATTTTTAGAGAAAGCAGATGATTTGTTGTACCGTTTTCTACTCTTTATAAGCCCTATTTGTCTGAATTCAGTTTCCCACCCTCGCGCGAAGCGCGGAAGCTTTGACATTTCCTTAAAGACCGTCAATACTACTGGGCCAGAAGGGATTAGACCACACAGCGAGGTCACTTAGAGGTGGCTATTTCATTAACTCTCAACTAACATAAGAAAAAGAGGATCATGGGGGACCAACAGGCACCGATTGGGGAAGTTTTCTATAAAGAGGGAGCAAGTAGCTACAGGTAGGACAGTGGGGCTTTACATTATTAGATAAAGCAGACAATTTGTTGTACCGTTCACGACTCTTAACCCTAATTTGTCTGAAATCAGTTTCCCTCCTCCTGCACTTTCGCGCGGAAGTTTTGACGTTTCCTTAAATTATGAGAAAAGCAGACGATTCGTTGTACTATTCTCGACTCTTAATCCTTTTCTAAATTTGGTTGTCCCCCCTCCCGCGCAAATCGCGGAAGCTTAGACGTTTCCTTAAATTATTAGATAAAGAGGACGATTCGTTCTACCGTTCTCGACTTGTCTAAATTAAGTTTTCCCTCTCGCGCAAAGCGCAGAATTTTTGGCGTTTCATCAAAATATAGAGAAAGGAAGACGATTCGTTGTACTATTGCTGACTCTTTATCCTTGTTTGAATTTAGTTTCCCCGAAAATTTTAAACCTCTGATTTCTTTAGCTGATATTATAGGAAAGTGAACTTCTAGAAAATACAAGTTTTGTAGTCGTAGTCACTCTCGAAGTCATCGCAGCGGATAAAAAGTCACATTTCGTAGAGAAAAAAACTTGTAGCTGACCGACAATATAAACCTCACCGACTTCAAACTTCTGCATTGATATAGTACACGAGGATCGAGCAAGAATACCGACACAGCTGACCCGACACAGTAACATATTTACTCATGTCTTTCTTGCTCCCTCGACGAGACGACTCCACCCAACAACCCCCTCTTTCTTTTACTCCCACTCCTCCTCTCTCAGGCTCTTATCTCCCCTCTCTCTCCTCTCTTTCACCCGTGTTTCTTTTGTTTCCCCCTTTTTTGTTTGTTTCTGTCTTCTCCTTCTTTTCTCTTTTTTCCTCTCCTCCCTCTTTTTCTTTTTTCTCTTTCTTTCTTCTCTTTTTTTCCATTTCTTTCCTCTCTTTTCCTTTTCTTGTTTTTCTTTTCTTTCCCTCACTTTTTTCCCCTCCCACTTTTCTCTTTTTTCACGAGGGCAGCGCAATTTTACCGACAATATCCTGACAGGTGGGGGGGGGGGGGTGTCGCGTCCCCCCCCCCCCCCTTTGGAGACGCCCCTGGATACTGTATAGCATTTCAGTTCAATGATTGCTGTCATATTGTTATCAAACCAAAAAGAATAGTATGTAGGCCAACACTGTTTCATCAATAGTATCATACATTACCTGTCATTCTGACACCGACACCGACATCTCCAACGTCAAGCCTTGGTTGATCTGGTATGCTGTCATCATCACTTTCCTCAGACTCATCATCCACTGACAGGACAACTCCCTCCCATCTCCTGCCTTTCCAAGGCATGAAGACTTTTGTCCCTTTTATTGGAATACAGGGACATTGAATCTATCTCCATACACTACCACGTTTTTTGGAGCCATCTTTTTTCCACTGAACAAGCAATTCTCTTGTTGGCTCCATGCTGCAGCCTACCTGTGCAAATCCTGACAAAGTGAGGGAAACAAAAGGGTTACATTAATTTGACTGAAAGTAGATCTAATCCAACTTACAAGCTACTTTACAATTGACCGTCCCCAATACTTGTAGCGGAAAGTAGAAACTTGAGTTCTAGACATGCAACTATCATTTGAGATTGCCCTTGATTAAGTTTGAACAAAGCCACTAAAAGACAAAGGTATCAAAATTCAAACCATTCTCCTTTCATATCTGTAGACTAGAGTCTACTATCATTTTTGCAAATTTAATTTGAACAATAAAAAGTATTAGACCTCTAGAGTCTAGAATCTGCTTGCACTGTTGCAATTGGTATAATAATACCTGAATACGGTATACTAATAACAATCTGGCATTTATTTAACTAATTTTGTAGATCTACGCTAAGCATGCTTTCAAATTTCAATCCGTACCACTGTCTTTACAAATTGTTGTCTTGTCTCGTCTTTCCATGAGCGAAAAAACAGTGAAATGATTATCACGGCACATAGATCTATAGATTGACGACTACTCCTACATACTGTACATGTATCTTGATCTAACTGAACAACCTCACACAAACAACATCACATCCCGCACCCAACTCTACCGGAACTGACGTTTTCCCTCGGGACAGCTAGTAACTGCGTGGAACGCACTTTCGAAAATCACCCTTGACTTGGGGCTTGATGCTAGTTGCTAGACCTAGATCTACTTCATATTTGGAGGCCTTCAACTTCAAGGGAGCGCTTCCATTGCAACCCACTCCAGCAAAGCATAGAGTCAATGCCACTCAACATCCACCCCAGCACAGAGAGTCAATGATAATGCGTAATGACTCTACTTGCCCGTGATACCATATAAATCAATACATGGGGCAACGTATTAATTATCATCATTATACATCGCATTTTTACCCGATAAAATCAAAATATTCTAAAGACCTTATCAGAATGTAATCAGTGTGACCAAATATATCAAATCTTCCAGATAATTTGACATTTACAACACGTTATTTAAAAGAAGAAGCAGTTATTTTGCTTACCACAGGCCTAGCAGACGTCAGCTTCGCGATAACGCCCTTCTGCTTTGATCAAAATTTACGCTCGCGCCTAATATGCAAAGGGCGTAGAGGGCTTACGCCCTTCTGCTTAGCGCGATATCTGACAGTTTGTGCTAACGCCCTTTTACTACTGTCGATTACGTAATCATTTACTTCGTTTTATGCCATCTCGATCACATCATTTGAAAGAGCTTTGAAAACTCTATTAAATGACATGAAATATCAAAAATCGATTTTTGACCTGAAATTCGAGCTAACGCCCTTCTGCCAGCCGTGCGACGAATAGTTCAACGGCTTGATAAAATTCTCTAAAAATAGACATGGTGGTAGTGGTTATTTTACCTGACTGCTAAGAAAGCATAAGTAAGTAATAAGCAACCAGACGGTCGACGGCTTTAAGGTCCTCTCCGAGGGACCTGGTAATGAGGTTTTATGCCTTACCAAAGGGCATTAGCGCATCGCCTTGGTTTCGAACCCGGGTCACTGGATTACGAGATTACTGCTCTATATACCGACTGAGCTATCGCGCCCCCTGTTACATTTCAGTTAATTTCCAACAACTCTCAAATTTGTTATCAAGCAAATCCTTCACCCACTACATTTTCCAACATGTTAGATTATGGATGATTGAAGATGAGGGAGGATAATGCAATCAAAGCTTCTTTCTATTTTGTTGCACAGTGTACTGCAGCATATTATGTAAATGAGCCCGCTTTCACCAGCTTTTGTTGGAAGTTTGGAACTCTCAGTAGGATGTTTAAGAAGATATTTCAAAATTATCATACAATGAAGCCCTATAATGTGATCTATTTGCAGAGCCCCCGGAAGCTCGGAGGTTTTAGGTATTACGGCCAGATGAGCATCCAGGGGCTCGCCGTAGGGCCCTTGGTGGGATCCAAGGGGCAGAGCCCCGGAAGCTCAGGGGTTTTAGGTATTTAATTATGGTTAGATAAGCATTCAGGGGCCCTCTTTAGGGCCCTTGGTGGCGTTTAGGAGGCGGAGCCCCCATAAGCTCAGGGGTTTTAGGCATTTAATTACGGCCAAATAAGCATATTTTAATACCTCATTTTAACATTGGCAGGTCATTCATTTTTGTTCTCTCTCTTTTTTTCTTTTGCTCTTTAACATCCATTTTAAAAAAATGTGGGGGCGCTGGAGCCCCCAAGTCCCGACGTTCTGCAGGCCCTGACATATAGGCTTCTAAATAAGAAAATTTTTCGCCCGATTGTAAACTTGGGAATTTGGGATTGTCCAACCAACGCATAAAAAGGTACAATTTACACCCAAAAATGAGAAAAAATACCGGAAAATCATGTCATTTCAAGCAACATTTGTAAATCACTGGTATCGAATTAGAAATACACTCCCATCAGTATGCCAGTGTTCAGGGGCTCATGTCTTCTCACCACTATAATATTAAAAACACACGCTTTCCCATCCTCTCACAATATTTCAACGATAGCCGCGTATCGCTATTACAAAAAGCCTTCATAATTATATAGGCCTATAGGGGCATGTGGAATGTATAGGAGATTTTAATTCCTGTTAAATTTCCTTTTCTTTGAATGGAATATATTTTGTATGTGATTCAATTCGGGTTTTAATGTTTTAATGTTCTTATTGGTTAAAAAAATACAAACCATCTTTACTCCTTAACTGTTTTTTTTTAAAGGATGGGGGGTTCTTGGAGGCGAAACTGCCTTTGCCCCCCCCCCCCCCCCCCCCCCCCCCACTTCCGGTGCCTATGCATACATGGATGAATTTGTGTAGAATACAGCATGGGACAGGCCTACTTCCTGGTATACAATAAGCAGGGCTGTCAACCCTCCCGCGTTAGTCTCACGCCACCACGCTCATTCTCCCGCCGTCCCACTCCCACCAGCTCGCACCGGGAGACTCCCGCCACCACGCCCTTCCTCCCGCTCTCTCGCTTCGATGTAGAATCTCCCGGTTTATGAAAAAACCTCCCGACAAACATATGATAACTACAATTTTACCTTTTTTCTTTGCTCAAGGGGGGGGGGGAGTAGTGGGCACTTTTTTTCTTCATATTATTTGACTCTACTACAACCCCCCCCCCCCCCCCCACCGTTGAGGAAAACAAATGTTTGCATACGATCTCCCTCGAAGCGTTGACAGCCCTGCAATGAGCTTGGTGGGAATTCGACATATTGGGAAAAGAAATGCGACCGAGGAAAAGGTGAATGAATATTATACTAACTATGCTTTTAGAAGAACAGCTGATATCCATGATTCAGATTGGTAGAGCAAAAGTGTGAGGATGATAATAAATGTAGTCTATACTTTGATCCAGTGCGTGAGAAAACTAGGAATGGCCCATGATTTGTGCTTTTAATGTCCCGTGTAGATATTACCCTTCTTTCCTCAATCCTCGCAGAAGCTTTTTGTCACCAATTATTTCTTCCAAGGTCAATGCATGTGAGGAAGAACGTTCAAATACGCTGGAAAATGTCGACAAACACCGAATTACAAGTCAAACAGGAGACACTATACGATGATTCCTACTCATGATAACAAGTGGACAAATCAGAATTATATGCATGCAACGTGAAAGTTTATATCCAGCAAAATATGTTGTACCACCATGAAGCTACTAGCTCCTAAACGAATCTGTTACCATGTATAAAAGAAAAAATAACCGTTCCTGATGCATTGATTCGTTGACATTAAATGACGCGCCTGTCTGCAAAGTACTGTAACGAACCAGTCTGTTACAATTAGTTATCTTGCAGAAAACGTAGAGGGCGTAGTAAGCTTTTGGGGCCTACGGAGGACATACTGTGTATGATCGAATCTCTTTGTTTGGGGCGAAAGAGCTCAGAGCGCGATTACGGACGCACCATGCGTAAAGCAGGTCTCGGAGACTATAGATAGCAGTATTTCACGGTGAATTCGTCACCTCGACACTGGCTCTCGTCTTGGTCAGATGGCGAACTTTCCACTTTACTCCAATTGAGCTAAAATAAGGAAAAGGATTGGAAGCGAGAAATAGAGTTCCTACAAAAGGCAATCCCTGCCTTTACAACTTGTTGAGATTAATCCAGGTAATTGGTGTCGGTGTTAACTATGATAACGTGTTGGAGAGTTGACTTATGTTTGTATTAATGAAGTATACAGTTAAACAATCCACCGTTTCATAACGTGTAATTAGTTGAGTCTCCATAGACTGATGTAATATAACACAGGCGCGTAGCCAGGGGGGCGGTGGGGGCGGTCGCCCCCCCCCCCCCCCCCAAAAAAAAAAAAAAACGCCGGCCAGAAAAAAAAAAAGAGAGAGAAAGAGAAGAAAAAAAGGAAGAGGACGTAGGAAGAAAAAGGGAAAAGGAGTCGAGAACGGTACAACGAATCGTCTTCTTTCTCTAATAATTTGATAAAACGTCAAAGCTTCCGAGCTTCGCGCGAAAAGGGGGAAATTGAGTTCAAATTATGGATTAAGAGTCGAGAACGGAACAACGAATCGTCTTCTTTCTCTAATAATTTAATGAAACTTCAAAGCTTCCGCGCTTTGAAAGAGGGGGACTGAATACAGATAAGGATTAAGGGTCGGAAAAGGTACACTGACGAATCGTCTTCTTTGTCTAATAATACGTCATAGCTTCGCGCAGGAGGAGGGGGGAGGGGGGAACTGAATTCAGACAAGGATTAAGAGTCGAGAACGGAGCTTCGAGTCGTCTTCTTTCTCTAATAATTTAATGAAACTTCAAAGTTCAGATAAGGATTAAGGGTAGAAAGGTACAACGAATCATCTTCTTTGTCTAATAATACGTCAAAGGTACAACGAATCATCTTCTTTGTCTAATAATACGTCAAAGGTACAACGAATCATCTTCTTTGTCTAATAATACGTCAAAGCTTCCGCGCTATGCGCATGAGGGGCGGACTGAATTCAGACAAGGATTATGAGTCGAGAAAGGCACAAGAATCGTCTTCTTTCAAAACTCACCCCTCCCTGCACCCACCCCCCTAGGGAGCGCGCTATGCGCGCTCTTTTAGTGATTCGCACGCTTCGCGTGCTCCCTACCGCCCCCCCCCCCTAAAATGAAATCCTGGCTACGCGCTTGATATAACCCTCTCATAGAGAATACACGTCCAGCGCTATCCAAAACACCTCTCATCTCCACACTCATATACTTTGGGAAAACGGAGCCACGTCCGGGCCTCTAAACTACAAGCCAAATAGAAACCGCTCGCATTAGTCAGACTGGCAAACTCTTCGTCAGATGACGGTGATAGGGGCAAGGGACAGGCCAGCCCTCCAGCATCCAGGACCCGTTCTAAGATGGAGGGCCGTAACAGTACAGTGGCGTTTTCGAGTTAAAAAGCGAAAGCATGCATGAATTATTTTGATATCCTGATGAAAAAGTCTGAATGTTGACTGCACCCACGCTCTGCCCGGCGAAATATAGAACGTTAAATTTCATTTTTACTTTTCTGATGTAGGCCTCATATCGATGGATGGCAAGTATTTATTTAGGGATCAATAATAGTTGAGGAGCTAACCAAGCATGCACACTATGAACGTGACTAACAATTAAGAAAGCGGACAAAATATACAGTTCCTCAAGTAGACAAAGGAACATCCCTTCACTGCTATTATGTAAGAAGATTATGCAAGTGACACCTGTTCTACACATTTTTACTTAATAGCAGTGAAGGGATGTTCCTTTGTCTGCATGAGGAACTGTATATTATGTCCGCTTTCTTTGTCAGTCATGTTCATAGTGGCACCTATATACAAATTATTATTTTCGCCTTAAATGCGTTTCACTTTAATTAAAACAGACTAGTAACCTGGTATGTATACGGTATGTCCTATTGGTATATGGTATGTCCTATTGAATGGAGCAGGAACATGGACAATAAGCAAGGCCATAGAAAATAGAATAACATCTTTTGAAATGTTTTGGGTTTACGGAAGAATGATGAAAAAAATCCTGGAAACGAATGAAAACCAACAAAGAGATATTGCACATGGCAGGGCGTAAACAAAATTGCACTGGTAGGATCAGTTAAGGAGAGAAAAGTCAAATGCTTTGGTCATGTTAAAAGGCACCAATTAAAGCCTCTTTAAAGGATGTGTTGGAGGGAAGAGCGGAGGAA